TTAAATCTCATACATTTCAGTCATTAAATACTAATACTCATCTAATAGTTCCTCATAATGATCACAATCGTCTATCGATATTAGCTGAGACTCATACAACTGACAACATCATTTATAAACAAATAAATATATCTGAACAACAATCTCAAGTTCAATCGAATGTATCTGAAAATCATAAATATTTTCTTCATGAAATGATTTCGAAAATATATTCTTTATTTTCTATCAATACATTTCGTATATTAATCATTTCAATAATTCTTATTTGGTCATTAGATGAAACAAATTTTTTATTTCTCACCGATCTCCTCAAATCATCTGGTCATTCAGAACAAAAATCAACATTATTAATTGCTATTATAGGCATAGCTGATCTTATAGGTCAATTATTTTTTGGGTAGAAATTAAAACGAATTTTATCATAGCATTATTTCTTTTTTGTATATAGATATTTAGGTGATGTTGAATATCTTAATCCATTTATTCTATGGACATGTACATCTATTATTGCTGGTGTAGCACTTAGCATAGCTCCATTAATTGGCTCTTATAATATTATTGGTTTATGTATAGTTTTTGCAATTCATGCATTTTTTCTTGCAGCTCCAAATATTCTTGGTAATATTATTATGATAGAAGTTGTTGGTATGCATCGTTATGCTATAGCTTATGGTTTCAGTTTACTTGTCAGTGGATTAACTTCTCTTTTTGGATATCCATTACTTGGTAAGTACAATATATATATACAAATCATTTATTATATAATACTTCATAAAATAGGTTTACTAAAAGATAAAACTCATAGTTGGACAATACCATTTGCACTTGTTGGTTCTATTATGATTTGTGGTGGTCTTGTAGCTGGAATAATTCCTTTATATAATTGTTATAAGAAACAAAGAACAAATTCAAATTATTAATAATGTCATGATATTATGTGTTAATTTTTTTTTATCAATACTTTTATATAGAGATAGAGTTCATTTGATTTTATTATGAAAAAACGCATTGTAAATCATTAGAATTAAAAAAAAAGAAAAGTAACTATATTTAATTTTATTTTGATGCTTATAAAAGATATTTGAAGAATGAAAATAGAAATATGTCATTCATTGTAATTAACTATATACATATGTATCTTAAAAATTCAATCTAATTGTATAATAATTAAAGGGCACTTGTTTCATTAAATTGAAGTGTTGCATTTAATGATAATCTTACTTGTTGTAAATTTCCATCTAAACTTACAGGTGGATCTGATAATCTTAAAATATTTGTTGTCATATTTTGATCATTTGATGATGGTGTCATTCCTGTAGTTGAATCAGAATTAAATGATGGAACTGTACGTAAATAATCTTTTGTCGATTGAGTTGTTTGTATTTCATGATTAACTAATCTTGTTCTTGAATTTCTTTTTAAATGTAAATATCGTTCTTGATATTTTTGTTTCGCTTGTCTTGCTAATTGTTCACTTGTTGGTTTTCGACAACAATAAATCGTTAAACATTCATCACGAAATAATTGTCCAAAAACACAAAATGGAATAAAATTCGTTGCTGCATTAATAATCGCAATTAAATTTGCTAAATTATGAAAACGTCTTACAACAAGTGAATTTGATGATGAATCAAAAAAGATTTTTATTGTTAATTCAAATGACCATAAAACCCAAAGAACAATTGTTGGACTTCGACATAAAAGTAATGTTAAAACCATTGCAATAACCATGACTGTTACAGAATATTTTGAACGATGAAATAGACGACGATGATGATGACGATGCTGAGATGTTTTTTCTGAATTTTTTGTAGAATTTTTTTGTCTTAAACGTTTTGCACGAGATTTGAGACGATGTAAAGCACGTATTAATTGAAAATTAAAAAAGACTATAGTTAATACTGGTAATGTATAAACAAATAAAGCATTAAAAAACATATAAGACCAACGATATAATCTTCTTTTAGCTAAATCGGTATAACCTTTTGTAATAAACATACTATGTTTAGTGAGTTTATCATCCATAAGTGTTATGGATTCATTATCAATATGAATCATTTGATAAACACTTGGTATTCGTACAATTTCATATTCAAAAAAAAGTGGAACTGAATAAATAAATGCTATTATAAATAATGTTCTTGATACAATTCTTGCTCGATTTAATGTACAAAATGTTTTACCATATAATGGATAACAAATTAATAACCATCGATCCATTGTAACGGCTGTTGAGATCCAAAATGATAAAACACGGCTGCCAGCAGCCAATGCTCCACATAGAATTTCAATTTGACGAAGAAATATTGCTATTGATGTACTTCGTCGAGTTTGAAGAAGATATTCAAGTATATGAGCTATCATTATTGTTATACAAGTTATCATATCAGATATAGATAAACTAGTTAAATAGACAAATGTTGATAAATGTGTACTTAATTTTAATAAAACAATAACAGACATTAGATTACTTAATGAACCTAATAGAGCAAATATAAAACTTGCAAATAATACCCAAAAAGAAAATGGATCTGATCGTGAACTATTAATAGAATTCCATAAATCATCAATTTCATTTTGTGCCCATGTTAAATCATTAGATGATGATGATGAATTACTCATCTACAATAAAAGAAAAAATTTTTACTTTTTGTCTTATATATATTAAAAATATGAATGAAAAAATGTCCTGAATCGTCTTCTTCTTTTTTCTCTAGGTACCATCAGGAAATCTGTCAGTAGACTAAATCTGAGTACTTAAATCAAAACGTATAATTATCTATTCTGACTGATGAATTATGAAATATTTTATACTTTACTTTAATTTTTATAAGTATGCATCAAATTAGTCTTAATTCTTTATGATTTAATCTCATTAATAAAGTATTTATTACTATTGATTCTATATAAGATTGATAATAAATTCTATTAAATATATAAAAAGAAAATAGTAAGTATAGAAAACGCCCTATTATATTCCCTAGACAAATTAACTATCTTTGATAATTATCCAAGCATAATCACAGCGCATTTTTTCACTAGACTGTAACATATTCTATATGTGAACCACTAGAAAATAACCTCTCATCTCTCATGTGACCATGTGTTTTTTCCTCACTTATCAAAATAGATTTCTATTAATATAGAAATAAAACAAATCGTGTATTTTCGTGTGAATGCACTACAAGAATGCAAAAATAATATAAAAAAATTGACTTCAAACCTTTGCCGTCTGATTTCCAAATGAAATATCTCTCAAATGAAAAGAAAAACTCTTGTGGTAAGGATAACATTAGACGACAGGATATATTATTAATAATGTCATCGATGACATATCTTATTATAAACTAAAGAGTATTTACTTGTCAAAATTTGAAAAGTATTCAGAGGCGTTTAAATTAATTTCGACTAAGATCTTTCTAAATATGTATTAGAAGAATCTAGATAATTTTAGTTAAAATATTTTCATTTATTCAATAAATTCATAGTATCATATATAAACTCATTGACATAGAAAAGATGAACAGTGGTAAATAACATACGGCATGCTGTGTTTTTCTGAGTATAACATCCGTATAAATAATACTTGAGACATATATTTATTCTATATATGCAAAAGAACAAAAATCTAGACAGGATGGTTTTTTTCTCTATAGACATCTTGTTGACTTTACTATTATAAAAGAAATCTTAACTAATGATTAAATTCATTTAATAAATATGTTGTTTGTAAACTATTAAACGTCGAAAGAACATTTAGGTTTTTAACATACTTTTTATATAACCCTTGTTCAATTTGAATCTATATTTAAATATTATGAAAGTATTACTTACTGTGTGAAATAAAGTTTTCAGACGTATCTATAACATATAATTATTAAAATTACAAAAGGAAATGACAATATGCAATCTATGCCATATCTTACGTCAGTATATATTATTTAGAGATCTCGTCAGTCTTTATTTTAAGCTAATTGAACATTTCACCTCTCAGGGACGGGAGATATATATTAACGTCTATTTTTGAATGAATGAATGTAACGAAAATTGTTTAGAACTTCTATTATCGTGCAATTATAATTATACATTCTAGTGAAGGCGGCGCATTTGTTACTACCAACTTAGCATAGTATTACTCATCTGTACAGTACTCACTTCTTTACAACTTTTGGAAACTTGCATTTTTTTCTCAAATTAATCATGTGCTCAAAGAATTAATTCTATAAAAGCTTTGAAATGGAAAAAGCACTTATTATTCATTGTCTAAAAATATTATAATGAGGAAACTGCCTTGATAATTGACTACGTTTTCAATATGAAATTATATTATATGTCAATGAGCATATTAATTGATGTAAATATCTTTTTTTACAAATTCTCATATGTAAGTAAGACAGAAATTTCAATTATAAAACTTACCAAAATAAATCATTCAAGATAGAAGTTGAATACGCATGTTTTCTTCTTTTTCTTTTTTGATTAGAAGATATTCCTAACGGAATTCATACATGTATCACTTTCTTAATCTCATGACATTCAATTAAAAAGAGGAACTAAATGAACGACAAGAGAATTTATAGTACTCTTGATAGAGAACAAAAAAAATGTTGTTTTTTTCATTGCTTCTAAAGCAAATTTCTCGGTGTCGACTCTGACAAAATAAATCAAATATTTTTTCCGTTATTTCAACGAAATAAAGTGTTCTTATTATTTATTATTCCGAGCTTTCATTTACTTATCTATATTCTTGCTCGATATGATTAACTGTCTCTATGAATATAGTCAAGAAAAAAATGTTCTTCTTTATTTATTAGAAAGAAAAGGTTAAACTTCTGACAAAAGCCGATTAAAAGAATGAATCCTATCGGAAATGACGCTAATCCATAATTTCCTTTATAGTATCCATATTGAAATTAACAATACACCTACCTGAAAGAAGATCAATTGTAAAAACTAGAAAATATTTTTAACGAATGTCTAATTAGAACTGGATATGTATATATATTCGATCATACTAACTCTTGTCATTAACTGACTAGAAATAAATACAACAACAACAAAAAAAATTAACTTTCTATTGTTTGTATTCTAAAGATAATGTATTCATCAATGTAATATATATATAACAAATGTTGAATAAGTTTGATGAACATGATCTTTGTCTGGTCGAATAAGAGACTTTTATTATTTTATATAAAAATAGAGCGTAGCATGTGTCGAATGCCTAATATAACAAAAAAAGTGCGTGACATGCAATGAACAAGATCTTTCAAATTAACGTGTAACTTCCTCTAGATTGGCACATGCATAAGTGGAAAGCAATATAATACTTATCATATCTAATATAGACATGTTGTGATCTATTTCTTTTTTAATATAAAAATAGATAGAAATTATTCACAAGTATGTATTTAATGAATATTATATTTATATGATACAAGTATAAGATGAAAATAATTCAGTTAATTATTATTAAGAAGAGATTTTCTTTGAAATCTAGATCAAGAATATTCGAAAAGTTCAAAGATAGATTTTACTAATTAGAAGAATCTATAATAACACTAATAATTACTAAAGTAAAAAATCTAAACCCATAAATCATATAACTAATATTCTTCTATACTGAATTATTACCTTAATTAATGACGACATTTTATGTACATAAAAAGAAATGTTCGACTATTTTATATCTCTTCAATTGTTCGATGTTGATATACTCCCACTGTCATGATTTCTCTTTTAATAAACTTTATTAATCACAGACCAGATGGTAACTAGTATTTTTAAATATGATTTTCTATTTGCAATTGTATTGATAGAATGTGTTTGACATCGTGACTACTCTGAAAAGTACATTCTACCAATCAATCAATAGAAAATATTTTTGTTATGATAACATATGTTCGTTAACGAAATGATTCAATTACATAGATTTATATTAATCGAAAAACAGGAAAAGCAAATACATGACAAAACTGCGTCCAATTTTGTTAAACATTACATGAATCTGATGAACTCTAAACTATATTATTAATACATAATATTTTTAGTTTGATTTTATTGTATGAAAGAACGATGAATAATTCCTCCCTCATATTTATAAAAAGAAAACAGAATAATATTTGTTATTACTACATTAAATACTTCAATAATTTTTGTATGTCAATCATCAAAATTTCTTATTAAAAAAATATGTCAAACTAGGAGTGTATAAATGAAGAGACTATATGTTCATGTCACGTTCTGTATACTACTTATGTTGATCATTTGAGAACATAATAACTAAGTATTCTTATCTTAATGATCCATTATTTGCTTTTGTGTTACCACAATTATGACAAAGAACATCTGTTTTTTTTTGTTCGTTGACAAAGATGTTTTTATCATATTTCTAAGAGAGAAAACTGATCGTAATCAAAGCAATTATGGGTAATTAGTAACTATCCATAGCCATTACTGACAATTAGTAACATTTAAGACTTTTTTTCTCCATATAAACCATATAAAAAAACTCGCCGCGTGTTAGTGAGAAGTAAATTTTGCGTATAGAACTGTTTACAAGTCAAGATCAATGGTAATATAGCGATTGAGATGTTGTTGTTTATGTAGAGCCATTTCTGTTGACATCAAAATTATTCTTAGATGTTTATATCTATTCGGAATAATTTTGACCTCGAGAACTTTGATCGTTTTCTGTAACGGAAATATATACTACATAATCTTTTAACTGAAGTCTATTAGAATATTGAGAAAAATATTTTATTTCCCTCTTCTATATATAGTTTTAGTCTATTAATAGAAGAGAATGTGTTAATCACGAATGTATCCTCTTTTTTTTCTAAAAATAGTCAAATAATAATCGAGATTTCACACCCACAATACTAGAAGACCTAGAAATTAGTTCCATGTAAAGAATGAAACATGTGAGAAGAGTTTAGAGATAATCATCGAATGCAATACTTTTACTCGTTCACATAGATAAACCACACAAATTATTGTACTATAGATGTAATCTGTTTTTTTAGCATGAAAAGCTTGTTAATTCATTCTTGTGAACTAGTTTTGTATTGAAATTGAAAAACAAATTGCCTGAAGTCATTTGATCCAATCGGAATTCTCAATGAGCTATCAAGATTACAAATGGGGAAAAGATAGACGTTTCCTTTTAGTTTCTGAACAAGATTTAGACATTTATCATGAAATAAAGTATAATGTTACAAAAAATTATATGAGATTTTCAAGCTATTCTAAACTCATACATTTTTATTGATTGATGAATCTTTATTCGAGTGCAATAAGTAAATAGGTATACGATTATGGCGAACAAGCAGTATATAAGAAATCTCATTACTAAGCACTATTTTCTTCAATGTCTAGACAAACAATCTATTTAAATCTGATCCCTTAAATTTAATACTAAAAATAATTGAACATAACATTTATTACAAAAAAAAAGTGTTGATATACTGAACTGATGAATCCTATTTTACAAAGAAATTCATGTCATACAATACGATAAATATCTGAATTATAAATGCTTCGATGAAATAGCGATTTTATAATTTTCATTGATTAATTAAATCTCTCAAAAAAAAACAGAAAATATCTCGATACAGATAGAATAGAAATGAATATATAATGAAGTTTTGCTTCTGCTTCGAAAAACATTACACTAGTTTTGATATTGTTTTTCGTATGTCTTTCTGTTTTCGATACAAACAGTTTACAAACTATCGATATGATTGTGCACTTGTTCAAGGACGAATATCTTGAATATTATCAAAAAAAACCTTGACTTAATCATTTATCATTAAAAAAAATGAAACTAATCAATAGTATTTGTAAAGATTTAGTAGTGATTAGAATCTCAGCTTGTTTTCTCTTGCATAACTCTATCTTGTTTTCGGCAATATTATTGTTTTTCAGAAAAAATACAATAGATTAGTTATGATATCTGATAACATATGGTAGATATAATCTATGAAAAACTATAGAAATCAGTACATACTCTATGGTTAGCATGAGAAAGACAACAATTAAATTATACTCGAAGAAGTTGGTCATATGATATTGATAAACATTAGATAATGATGGTACAGAGGTTTATTTATTTGCCTGGAAAAACATAAAAATTGTTGATATTTGTTCTTTGCTTTCTCTACTATATCGTTGATATTATTATTATGATTATTATTGACATGTCTGTTTAAGTGCCAATACACAAAATCGATTTTGTTATTACTATATGTATTTTTTTTGTCAAGGACATATAAACGGTGTTTATGTTTTTTTCTCTTCATTTAAATTAGAAGTAGAATAAAGTTATTGCTCAATCACTCGTAAGGAGTGGTTTATATACCTTTTTCTTTTCTTCATACCGTGTTGGCTTAGTTGTTCGGCTACTTCGTTGTCTAATGGTATGATAAAAGTTTCGGGTACTTTTGGTGGCGGTTCGATTCCGCCCGAAAATATGCTGAGCAATGCTATCCGACTAATCATGATTTATATTTTTGTATTTTTAAAAAAAATACTATTACTCAATTAATTATCAATAGTGTTCATCAAACAGCAAAAATACATTTAAATGTTTTACGCGATAATCCAGTAGTAGATATAGTAAGTTCTATTCCAATGATGTCTTTCTCAAAATGTCAAGATCAAGATCAAAAGCAATACGGTTCTTACGAAGGTTATATTTGCGCAAAGCTTTATATGTTATATAATGAATGTATAGATTCAATGGATTTTTTTCGTTTTTGTTTTACTTTTTTAGATCTTTTTTAAAATAATCATATTCGATCATTATGGCATTATCAGAAGATTTTTCACGAGAATCTCGTCAATATTATGCTCGTTCATCATCATTTGGTAATCTTCATGAATTATCATCTAGTTACAATAGTTCAAATCTTCATCGTACAGCAAGTTCTACGATAATTTCACGAGATTGTTTTGCACCATCAATAGCATGGGATTGTTTTGATAATCAAGTATGTTTTCAACGTCAATCAAGAGTAATCAATGATTTTGATCATCGAATTCAATGGCGTGTATGTAATGATATGATGAATCGAGAAGTTATTAATCATAATACGCTAAGTTTTGAACGTTGTGCACCTGTTTGTGCACCGATCTGTGCTCCTGTCTGTTATCGTGAATATAATACAGTATCAACAAGAATTGCACCGAATGAATGTGCTCCTTTAACAACAATTGAACGTCGAGAAAAAGTTTATCGAAAACTTGATGATCATAGTGATTGGTCAACAAATTCATTTCGTCATACAAATGAATATCATTGTATGTAGAATTTCTTTAATCAACAAAAAAGTTTAATAGAATTATATTTTTAGCACGTGGAACTGGTCCTTTTGGTACTGATAGTTATTCAAAACAAGGTAAATACTTAGCATAAGAAAAAAAAATAACAATTGAGATTAATTCATCGTTTAATCGGTTCTTATTTACTAACAGAAAAACCCAAACGTGTACGAACGAGTCTAACAATATTCGTTCGACAGCCTCGTAGGTGTTTTGTTAGCATGAAGTGTTTGCACATATAAAAATTCGCATGATTTATTCTTATTTTCGACCATTAATAATTTGTTTTTATTACTATTTAGATATTCAATATTCAGATTCATCTCATCGTCAACGAAAACTGTCAATACCAGAATTTTCATCATCATCAACTCGAATAAATTTTTGTTAAAAAAAACACATTCATTTATTAACCTTGATACTATTTTTCTAATGCTAAAATGCTCGAATATTTTTATTAAAACTATATCCAGGCTTGTTTTTTTAGAAATATACATTTACTCACATTTTATTATTAATTAGTTTTAGGTTCTTTTTTTTTCAATTTAAATTAAATCAGAAAAATTATTTAATTTTTCTAATCTTCTCTTACACATATTTTACTTTATAATACATTCCATATTTTAATACTAATTATTCTCGTATATCTATAATAACAATATATTTTTGTATTTTTTTTGTGTCTTTTGATAAACTTATTTATTGAAATAAAAAATTCATTTGATTAATGGAAAAAATATTGATCAATAGAAGAGAATTATGACATAGGAAATAGATAAAAGAATTCAGGATGTTACTGTCAAAATATATTCTATATAGCTGAAGAATTATTATTTCCGACAATCAAAGAAAAAACAAAGTAATTGTGTTGAATACTAGAAAAATATTCAAATGGTCTTTATATTTTAATAACAGCAAGATGTCGTTAGTCGATGATAGAAAATTAATTGATTAGTTATTTGATAGTCAATAAAATCAATGAATAATTTCTCTATAAAATACAATAATATTAAAAATATATTTACTTAAAAATATTTGTTGAAATTCAATCTATTTAACTCGGTAAATATGAGTCATGAATTGCGATACATGCGTTTATATGAATCATCATATAAAGCTTACAGAAAATTCTTATTGCTCTAAATATATATATATATATATTGTTATCTAAAATCAAAGAAAAAGAAATACGATGATTGAATTGTCTTCAGCTACAACATCATCATCATTTCCATCGATGGGATTAGTTTCGTCACCACCTCGTTCAGTATGTTCAACAACAAATTCTACAAGTAGTCCAACTGTTGTTGTTCAAACACGTTTACATAAATTTCCATGTCAAGAAATTGAAAAACTCAAACAAAAATATCGTATTCAACATACAAGTTGTTTTACACATTTACAAAATCTTATTAATAAACATCGAGTAATATTTCTAAAAAAAAAAGAAAACAAAAAATTTTAAAATAATAAATATATTTATTTAGATACCAAAATGTCGTGAATGTGGTTTAGATGAACAATGTCGTATTTGTTTAGATTGTTCATTATGTTTATGTCGTCATCATGCTCAACAACATTCTAGATTATGTTCACATGCACTTGCTATTGATATAAAACGTCTTTTTGTTCATTGTTATATATGTGGTGATGTTCAATATGATTCAGTTTTTGAACGTGCAAGACGAAAGATTATTTTACTTCAACAAAATTCATCGAATAATTCTCCTTCATCGTCAACTATTGGAGGTAAATTATTTTATTTCATTTCATATTTTAGATAAAGACTTTTTTTTCTAATTTTCAAAGGTATATGTGGACTTCTTAATCTCGGTAATACTTGTTTTATGAATAGTGTTTTACAAGCTTTTGTTCATGCACCAGGTAAATATATAATATTTAATAATTCAAATTTTATTTCAAAAAAACAAATATAGTTCTTCGTGATTGTTTTCTATCGGAAAAACAGCATCATTGTGAATTTCAAGATACTAATCATACAATTACGAATTGTATTATGTGTCAATTACGTCAATTATATCATCATGTAAATATATTTAATTTTAAATATTTACAAAAGAAACGATTAATTTTCGTTTTAATGAAAAGGTTCATGAAGGACAACAACGAAGTAATGAGCCATTCGTTCCATCACAATTGTTATATTTAATATGGACACATGAAAATCATTTAGCCGGTTTTGAAGAACAAGATGCACAAGAATTGCTTATGGCTTTATTTAATATAATACATTCACAAAATTCAAATGATGATGGTTAAATAGTTTTATTCAAGAAAAAACATATAATTTTATATTGGCATTTCTTTTAGTAGATGATGAAAAAACATGTTCATGTATTATTGATCGATTTTTTAAAGGTGCTCTTCAGTCTGAAATAACATGTTCTCAGTGTGGGTAAGTTTATCTCTCATATGTAGAATAAAGATCAGGATAGAAATTGTTCAAAGCACTAAATCAAACACTTGTTTTTATCACAGAATTCTTTCTAAAAATAACAAATGAGAATGTCATATCGTATGTTTAGATCTGTTTCGACAAAAAATGATCTTGTTCGAGATATATCTCTTCAACTACCATTCGCATCATCAAATGGTATGTATAATTATTTTACAATAGAATCAGAATTCTCGTTCAAACAAATAACTCTAATATCATATACTAGCTATGGTTAAATTCAAATAAATAAATATCAATTAATTTTAAATGGATGAGAACCCTTCCGTTGATTGCCATGCGCTTCAGGGTTAATTCTTTATTTTTAAATACGACATACTGATGAGTCTAATTGACTTTCGATAGCTCCAAGCAAATAAAAAGTATATCAAATGATTTTATAGATTTTGATTATTTTAAACAAAATCACATGATAATTAGAATTAATTTATATTTAGATGAATGCTTTCCATCATCATCATATTCTCTCGAAAATTGTCTATGGAGGTATTTTATAATATTTCAATTAAATTTAAATGAAATTCAATTATTTTCTTAAGATTTACACATTCCGAAACATTAAGTAATTTTTATTGTGATAAATGTCAAATGTCAATGTCAGCCAATATAAAACTAACGATATCCCAAGCACCCATAGTTGCTTGTTTTCATCTTAAAGTAATGAAGAAGACATAATTTTTTCTTCATTTGAAAACTAAATCTATTCTTTCAGCGTTTTCAATATGTTAAAAAATCTCGATCAAAAATGCGTAAAAAGATTTCTGCACATATATCATTTCCTGATGAACTTGATCTAACACCTTACATGACAATAACAAATTTTAATAAAGATCATAATAAATATTGTTTATTTGCTGTTATAAGTCATTTTGGTTCGTCAGTTGAAACTGGACATTATATGTGTTACGTTAAACTTCAATTACAAAATCGTTGGTAATATAATGAAAAACAAAAAAATAATAACACGAACGATAATTGAATTTTTTAGGTTTCGATGTGATGATCATTGTGTATGTGAAGTATCCGCTGAAGAAGTATTTAAAAGTGAATGGTTTGTTAAGAAAGAAAATATATTTGACTTCATATAAATTTTATTTATTTATTTATAGTTATCTTCTATTCTATCAACGTATGAGTGTAGAACCAACAAGCTGAATTGATTTACCTATTATTTTTGTCTTATAATCTTGGTTTCTTTTCTCTCAGAATGCTGGTCATTCATTCTCTGTTCGGATTTTGTTGTATGTTCTTTCTTTTTTTGATGAGTCTTTCTTTTTCTCTCTCTCTCTTTCCCTCTCTCTTTTTTTGACGATCAGATGAATTTTGCTCAGCAACAATGGAGAAAAAAATAAACTTATATGAAATGTTTGTGTGTATGTGTGCATATATATATATATATTTCTCTTTAGATTAATGAAATTATTTATTGAATATTAATAAAAATGTCCTCTACAACAAAAGCGAAACATGTCGTAAATGAAGCACTTCAACGTTATGAATTACCTGATGAAAAACATTATATTGTTAAAGTAAAAATTATATCTAAGATTGCTTTTTCAATTAAAAATAGATTAAGGTTTAGTAGTCTTAAAGCATTGATCTTATCAGAAAATAAATCTTTTTCATCTTTCATCCTATATCATTACCTCATTATATTTATTTCTAGGTAATTGCTCCGCGTGGAAATAATTTACATGAAGTAATAACACCTAGTGGATCAACATTTCTTGTTACTATGCCAACGAAATTTCGACGAACAATTTTTATCAAACGAGGTTCATAATTAACTTATTTCATTTTTCTTTGAAATAGAATGTTTTTTACTAGGTGATTATGTACTTGTTGAAAATATTGACGAAGGTGATAAAGTTAAAGCAGAAATTATTCAAATTCTTCTTAAAGATAATATTAAATATATTCGAGCACAAAATTGTTGGTAAATAATTAAACAAACGAATTTATTCATGTTTTTTTATGAAAATTATTTATTTTTAGGCCAAAAGAATTTGAAGTTATTCAAGATGAAGAAAATAAAGATAATGGATCATACGAGGATATGATGCCACCATCACAGAGCTCAGGAGATGAGGAAGAAGAAGAAGAGGAAGAGGAAGAACCAAAATCAATTCTGCATGATAATTAACTCGGTGAATAATTGTGATTATTTTTATGATCTTGTTTTTTGTTATATTCTCAATGAATAAAACTATTTTTCATTATTTTGTTTATTAATTTATTATGAAATACGATGAATTATATAGCAATTCTTGTTAATAATAAAAACAACCGTTATGAATTAAGAGAAAAATATAAACATTTAATTATAACTATGACTATATACTCAACATCACACTCTGATTAACTACAAGAAAAAAACTATAATCACAGTCATCTTTTCTCCTAGCGATCTATATTTATAATAAATTATTTTCTCGACATTTTTCATATGACAAAACTATCTGATTTTAAATAGAGAAGATTAATAATAAGTATTTGATATAATGATATTGATATGACAAAATATTATCTATTGAATAATTAAAATTATTTGTTTACTCACAAGATTAAAAATTTAATCGTATTTTGATACTTTGAATTTGTATGATATATCGTAGACAACTGAATAGTGGTGCTTAGCGGATTTTATCGATCGTTTCTTTTTTTTTTGTCATCGATAACAATAATAAGTGAAAAGAGATTAGACATTAAACATCACGTTTATTATTTGTCTCGCACCAATTGATTGCATGAACCGATAGGTAAACATTATGCGTTAGTTAATCTCAGGCGTCTATCGTTGTTTAAGAGAGAGAGAGAGAGAGAGCTTAATACCTTTCTTTTATCTACCCAACATAAAAACAACTCGCATCAATCATTTCTTCATTCTTACAAAAGAAAATGTCGTTCTATTTCTTCGTTTATCTAGTACTATTATTAGTACTTATTGATAAATATAAAATTTATTCAATTCCAGCCTGTGTTATTATTGATACAAATATGCTTCAACGACCTGATAATGATCTATCATTACCAAATAATCGTTCATCTTCATCATTACTTCTTCGAAATTTACGTATGCTTGATCATCAACGTTCATCTGCATTATCTGAATTAGTTGTAGATCCTATACCACTGTCTTATATTGATATCAAACAAACAACATTACCACCTTTGATGAATATAAATCATTCATCATTAAAAAAATCTTTAACCGAAGCCGTAATTGATCAAACATTTTCTCCATGTCCAATTAATTTACTCAGTGAAATTGAAACAAAAATGGTTGTTCCATTTGAATTTCGTCGTTTACGTATTGAACAACCTGATCATCGCACAAAGTTTTTTGATGATGATCCACGTGAAACTGTTCCTGATTTATCAACAGCTGTATATGAAAGACGTTCAGATCCTGATGGACTTCGTTTTTGTCGTACTTGTCGTGATGGTAAATTTAATCAAAAAAAGATTTATATTCTATTTTAATTTTATTTTCTAGGTTTTTGGACTCAATTAACAGTATGTGACACTGTTCGATGTGATGCTGAATTATTACGAGCTAATCCACGTTTAGTTACTGAATGGGGAGAAATAAAACCATTAGATGGTGGTGCACTTTATACACCTACAACTGTTTTTGCTATATATGCATTTGCTTTTGGTCCTCATTGTAAACGATGTGAATCAAATGGACAATGGAGTCGTTATGCACTACCAGAACTTTGTGCTGGTATTAAATTTTTTGGTCAACCATCAACAACAACAACAACAACAACAACAACATCGACAGCAACAATACTCAATAGTCAAACTTTGACAAAGTATGCAAAATTAAAACAAACTTCAACATTATCGTCGACAAAATCGACAAGCAAAAAACAATAAAAATGTTGCTTTTATATATATATATATATTCTTGATTTTATACATATGAATATCAGTTTAGATTAGAACAATTGTTTATGAAGATTTTAACGAAGTTTAAGAAAAAGGATCAGTTTGTTTTATCTTACAGGAAAAAAAGAATTTCAATAAACAAATTTTGTGCACACACACACGCACACTCAAACACACACGTTTCTTGTAAGAGACAGGTGAAAAAAAGAAAGAAAGAGAGAAGAACATGATTGCACTAGCAGATTTCATTCGTTATGATTTTTATGTTTTTGTAGCACCTGGTAATGAATCAACATAATTCATCAAATCCTATAATTAATTCAATAAATATTATTATTTAAAAAGAAATCTGAGTCTTTTTTACTTACAGGTTTATTTGTTGAGGAAGCTAATTGTTGAAGAGTTTTACCAGTCTAAACAAAAATATTAAATTTTATTTAATAAAAAAAATTCGAATTTTTTAATATGTACTTTGCTTAAAGCTTTTGGATTAGCTCCCTTTTCTATTAATAATTCAGTAGTTAATAGATTGCCTCGAATAACTGCCATTTGTAAACCTGTTGTATTCGTTGTTTTATCTTCACATTCAGGACTTGCACCATTTTTAAGAAGAAGTTCAATTATTTCTTTATTACAATCATGAATTACTAAGTTTTAATAAATAAATATTTATGTTTGGTTCAATATTTTCTATTCTATATTTACTTGCTCGATATAATGGTGTCCATTTATGTTGTCCAACTTCTTTATTCATTTCTGATTCTTTAAGAGCTTCATTTTTTTCCGAATTTAATTTATTTATTATCACAGTAATTGTCTCAAGATTTTTACTATCAATCGAACGATGTAAAATAGTTGTACCTTAAAAAACATCATTCGATTAATTTTATATTTAAAAGAACTTTTTTTTTTTCTTCATACCATTTTCATCAACAGCGTAAAGATTGGCATCATTTTCAAGAAGAAATGCACATGCTTTAGTAAAACCTGCACTTGCTGCTACCATTAATCTAAATTAATACTATTAATGTTATTATTTAGTTCAACAGAATAAAAGTAACATACGCAGTTTTTCCTGAACTAATGGAACTATTCACTTTTGCACCTGCTTTTACTAATAATTCAACTTTTCTATTAGAAGAAGAAGAAAAAAATTTCGTAATTACTAATAATAAATATAACTTACGCAATATCATGTTTAGCACATGCATGCATCAATGGTAAATTTCCATCTTTATCTGGATGTTCCAAAAGATGATTTCCATGACCTCTATTTAATTAAAATTTAATTTAATTATTCAAAAGAAAATATATATAATTTAATTTAATAATATACAATATCGTAAGTAATTTTTCAAGTTGATCTTTTCCAGGTAATTGAATTGCTTTGAAAACAGTTTCACCATTCATTGGTTCAGGTATTGTTGGTGCTAATAATATTGGTGACCATTCTGATCGTTCACCAGTTAAACCTGATTTACATTGTATACGATATTCATATTGATTATTTGGTTTTAAATTTTCAATTTTAAATCCTAATGCTGATCCTCTATTTATATTAAAATTAAAATTCGAAATTAAATATTTCTTCAAAATAAATAACATACGTGTAAATGCTTTCCCATATTGATGCAGCTTTTTTATCACGTTGATGAAGATAAATTAAAGAACCTGAATGTGCAAGACCTGATTCTTCATCAAATAATCTTCTATTTTCAGGTCGTTGCTTATCTTGTTTTAAAACATGTTCCCATTCAAGTTCAATTGAATGATGAGTTGCATTGACTAATACAGGTACTGCAGGTCTTTCTAAACGTCCAGCTAAATTAAAGTACAATGATGATGATTTTACATTGAAAGAAAAGATCAATTTCACGTACTCATATTGTTTGTAATGTTTGAATTGAAATATTTGAGTAAAAAAAAGAAATATGTTCGTTGCTTTTAAATAGTTTTAATAGAAGCGTTTGTCGTTGTTGCACATTAATTAATAGAAAAATACTTCAAAACATGAAAAGAAAAGAACAATGAGAAGTAGTTTGAAAATCTATAGAAAAAATATGAGATGAGAATAAATATATTCTCGTTCAATTTCTTTCGATTGAAATAAATTTTTCTCACCTTATTATAATTGACAAATAATACTCTCGGAAACTCTTTTCCGACTGAGTATTATATATATATGTAGTTAATAAAGGCACTAGAAATCATTCATTTCTATTCTATTACAAAAAAAATCACGTAGTCAAAAGAATATAAAGAAAAAGAGAAAAAGAAAGAAAATTATATATAAATTCAATTTAATGAGAAAAAGAAGAAAAAAAACGTAAATTGACTCAGCCATTTCTTTTGTTATTGATAGCAACTGCTTGGCAACATTTGTTAAACTATAGGAGGTCGCTTGCGTCATAGAGTATATTTTAAAAGAAAAGAAAAGATATATATATATATGTATATATAAACTTTGTGAAGAACTTAAGTGATCATAAAGATGTATTTTAATGATTTCTATTTGTGTTCAAGGTTACACGAGAACATCGAGAGAAAAAGAAAGGAGTTGTGTTTTTTTAATACTTAAATCGCATTTAAGTATAAAAAGTGCAAGTTCGAAATAATATAATTTTAGTTTAAATCACAAAGAGTTCAGTATGAATCATATTTATATAAAAAATTGCGTTATTATTTGTTGAATTAAGAAAGAAAAAAAAGCACAGTTGAAAGTTTATCATGAATAGAAATTACTTATTAATAATTTATACAGCGATAGAAAACTATTCTTCTGCATTGAATCGTATTATAAACGTAGAATATTAAATAAGAATTTAATATGATTATAATAATATGAATATAAAATTAAGGCAATTATGTTTTGTCACATAAACGAGTGAAAATATTTTCGAAATATTCAATCATTTGTTTCTTCTCTTTGAAATTGAGTATATTAGTTGTGACACATCAGACAATCTTTGTAAGTGCCTTAGATTCCGGTGTTCTTATAATTTAATTTACAAGTTAACTTTAGAAATATGTATACATATAGAGTAAATTCTTTTCATTTACAATAAGTTTTATTCATTGAGATTGTCTTAACTTTCGAACGGTATATTTTTCGTTTCTATATATGAATCTATTTAACACTATAATTATCGTGTGATAAATAGCGTGCATTTTATAATAGAAAAATATGTATAGGTCTCTTTTTTGACTGTTCCTATCTTCATTGACATATACCATGTGACAGTTTCTTTTGATGATGATACGTATTGTCGATAACATATAGGATATTGATACGTACATCCTATAAGGGAAGATTACATAACTGACTCGTATCTTTTCGTTTTTCTTTTTGATTAATAATTAGATAAAATCTTTACTGATATTATATTAAGTTTAATACAAATATAATGATAGTTTGCTATATACTTTATTTTAGATTCTCTTTTCTGATTAATCGATTACAAACATTGCGAATTGTAAATATAACTTTAATGATTTCTTATATACATTAGCTACATGACAACCAAACAAAATACCAATCATTTATATTTTCTCGTTTTCGAGAAGCGTAAACAAGGGTAAGGAGAAAAAAATGTGAAGGTACTGGAACAAAACAAACAAAATGTGTAGTGTGAAGGAAGTATACGTGAAAACAGAACAAATATGCAAAGGATGTGTCATGGTCTATGGACATGACAATGATGTATACTAATTACTCATTTTTTTTCGTTCTATGTAACAAAAAAATAAATAAATAAGATTTTAATCAATCATAAAACATTTCTCAATAAATAAGTCATTGTCTTGTTCTTATAATTAAATATTCTATTCGTAGAAGTAAATAGATGAAAAAACAAACCTTCACATCATAATCAATTTGATGAAAGAAAGCATATTGTGTATTACGAACAACAATGAATGATAATTAACTTGTCATTTATTTTCACAAACAATAGTATTATTTTTTGATTACAATTCATAGTAACCTTTTATTGTTTCATATATATGAGTGTTGAATTATTTCATTTGAAGAAGAAAAAAAAGATATCACCCGTAATTTTTTTTTTTTTGTAAATGTATAAATTTGACTTTTATCCACTGAGTATTAAATCTAAAGCAAATAAAGCCAGATAAAGTACAAACAAAAGAGCAATAGTCCATTCGAATGAAGCTGCAACAGATACTAATTGAGTTTGATCACTAGGTCTTGGAATTACACTGAATATAACAAAACATATTGCTAAAGGTATCACCACCGAAACAAATAACACTCTTATATAAACAGCTAAATTCAGTTCATTACGTGAAAACCGATAAATAGTTGAAAATATTCCCGATATAAGAGTGCATGTAATAAATAATCCAGTAAATGTATAATGAAGTGCTGTGTAGTTATTGGAATCGAATATAGAGAGTAGAAGAAGAGATACACTAGCCAAAATACCAAATATAATTGATGTTATGGAAACACCTTTTTTAAATCTTCGTCTTGTTTCGGAATCAAAACAAAGTTTTGTAAATATTAATGTTAACACAAAAAATACGCCCGTGAGAGCTGCACCCACAATAAATACAGTCTTATATTCAGCACCGACATTAGAAATATATACAATTTCGCCTTCACCAGGTTGATATCGAACAAAACCATCGGCTGCCCATAAACCAAATAATGCTGTAATTGTAGCTAACCATACAAGAGAAGCAAGAACTGAAGTTAATACACCAAAAAATTTATATACCACATGTCTCCACGATGGCGAAATTGCACCCACGGGCATTTTTTGTGAAAAGAAACTATATTAAACGCATACACCTATCAGTCAGTATGTTCGATAGGTGTACTGTAGATACGTCATCATTTTTACCTTGTGCAATACGTTATACTCTAAGTTATATGATATACGTGTCTCGTCCTTGGATATGAACTGATGCATACGTTACGAATGAGAAGAAAAAAAACAGATAAATGAATAAGAAAGCTTTTATAGATTTCGTCTTATTCAAAAAGATAATCATCAAATTTATATTATTCGAAAAAATGAAAGTTTGATAGAAGTGAAATTTCATTAATAACAACGATTTAAAACAATTGATACGTGTATGTCATTTTGTTCTAAGAATGTATTAACCATGATACAATATCGAATAAACCTGACAACAGAAATAAATACAGTACATTATTATATCACTAATAGGAGTCATAATATGTCATGTTTCGTATGTCAACGATGACTTTTTTTATATGACATGATTTTCTGATGTTTTTTTATGCTCTGATGCTGAATAATTGAGAAAAACAACTATTCATCATGAACAAATGGAATGTAAAATATGTAGTAAAAATCTACATATAATTTATCGAAGGATACAATCATGATTACTGGGTTATAAAGAATAAAAATTATTTCATATAATTACATTAATAATATTTTGATTTTATTGGTTTTCGTATCTATTGCTTCAAGAATTTTCTTATTTTTTGTTTATCACGCTTCAATGGAAATTGAATAATTAGTAGTTTAATGTATCTATTTATTTTCGATAAATGACTGATTTCAAAGTACTTTAAGTTTATTTTAATAGCTGTCTATCATTTATTTGATAAGAAATACATGTTGTATTTTATCGGTATTGACATATATTATCATGAGAAATATACTAATTTTAATTTTGTCACGTCATGTGGTGAATGAAGAAATCGAGATCTTTATGAATCTAACCAGTAGCAAGTGCATTTAGCCTGTTTTGTTTCTCTTCTCTTTGATCCCGTCTTTGCTATCTTTACGTGGTCAGTATTTTCCCTATATAATCGACTTCATGTGCACTTCAAACGGAAGAAAAATTATAGTTATAATTTAATTCAAAATTTCAATGGGCAGATTCCCAAATAAAATGGGTAATTGCCTATTCGTCTCCCGTTGGCTACGCCACTTATAGAAAAGAAAGAGAAAGATTGATACTACAGAGTAATCCTATTGACTAATATCACTACATCACAAATTACTTTTCATTTCTTCATGAATATGTAACAAGATTTATTCTTTATATATATATGTATGTATGTTGGAGAACGAGAAGTTTATAGATTATATGTTGTCGTTTCTTTTCTTCCGCAAAAGAAAAGACTGAATGAGCTTTGCTTGTAAAAAGTTTCGACGTCTGAATGTATACTAAGAAGAAAAAGTTTGTCGTCATATTTTTCTCTCATATTTATCTCAATTTCCAAGGATGAATAAATTCTTGCTCGTCCTTCAGTTACAAGCAAAAAGAAAGAAAAAGAATAGAAAAAAAAGAAGATGAAATACTAGTGTGACTTCCATTTCTTTTTCTATTGACAGATTACTCCAAAAGTTTTTATACGCTATCTCATCATAATATAAAAAATACAATGGCTCAACGTTTAAGTAAAGAGCAAGTTAAAAAGGTAAATTTTTATGATTATAATTATTATTTTTGACTAATGTGTGTATATTTTATTGATGATAATAGTTATTTCAAGACTTCGATAATGGAAATGGAATTTTATCATTAGCAGAAGTTGATCGAGCTATTGTGCACTGGCATCCTGAATTGGGCACAAATCGTCAGGCTATGCTTCGTGCTTTTAAAGCAGCAGATACAAATAATGTATGTCTAATTCGTTTTTATTTGATAAGACTTATGTTTTGTTTTGCTTGATTTTCTAGAGTGGTTTTGTTGAACTAAAAGAATTTCGTCATTTAATTGATTTATTATATTTTTATAATAAATTAAGTACTTTATTTGGACAATTAGATACAAATCATGATAAACGAATAAGTTTTGATGAATTTAAAAAAGGCCATGAACTTATAGGTGATGAAGATACAGATGAAGATGAATTAAGACATGAATTTCATCGTATTGATACCAATCATGGTGGATATATTTTATTTGATGAAGTTTGTTAAATATTTTATATGTTTTAATTTTCTATAATTATTCTTTTATTTAGTTTTGTATGTATATGGCAAAGAAAAAAGCTCAATAAATTAATCTATATATCTCATGAAATATTGAACAGCTCTTTTATGTTGTATTCAAGATTTATAGTTATTTTAGTTGATGTATGTATATGTTAAATAAATAAGAAAATAAAATGTTTGCAATATTCATTTTTTTTGTGTGCTGACTAAAAATAGAAACAATAAATACACTAGAGGAAACACAAACTTTATATTTCTAGTGTACTTGAAATATTGATATACTTATAATAATAATGATGTAATTTTTGATTTATAATTAATTTATATTTATAGATTAGAAATTTATTTTGATAATATAAAAAAATAATACTATAATCAATGTTACTAAACATATCAATTTTTTCATATAGATCTCATTTTGTTGACAATGAGAATTGCTAACATATCTATTGTCATTCATCTTAACTATTATTGATTTGTTTGTTATAAATAAATAAATAATGGATAATTTGAATTTAAATATTTTTATGGTCCAATAAATGCCATCTAGTTGAGAAATCTAAAATGAGTAGTATTTCTCTTTAAATTATTTATAGAAAAAGAAAAAGAGGCTTTATCTTACATTTTCTAATTATTCATAGTAGGACGTGTTGAATATTTTTCTAGGTCGAGTTAAATTTACTTCAACATTTATATGACCATATGGACACTATATAAAAATATAATTATAAAATTAAAAAGATTCATATCGACTTACATGACGACATTGACTACCACAACATTTACCACGTTGTAAATGTGCATATCGAGTAAGAACTTTTAATTTCGTTGCAGGATCAATATACGTATTTCGAGCATCCTATATAATATCGAAAATATAAATGAAATCTAGTGTGTAGGAACTTACAAGACATGCTTGACGATGAAGTAAATGAATAGAAAGTCGATCTTTTGTAAGACATGGAATAATAGTAATTGAATCCCATGCTTGCCATGCAGATCGACTTATAGAATTAATACCAGAACGAGATGAAGCCAGTTGAAAAGGCTTATTTAAAAACGAATTAATCAGTTGTTATATATATATATCGCCATTTTAAGTGTTGTAAAAATTTAATAAGCCTTGTACACCAATCAATATATACTTGAAAAACGATAGAGGACGTACATCAACATATGATACAGTCTTATTAGGTTTTCTTTTCGTATTATTTTACACGAAATATCTTTTTAAGCTCTTCAGATTATATGTTGAAATAGAACTAAAATTATATTAATATTCTGGACGATCGATCTTTTAGTTACAATTTATAGAAATTCATCAAAATCGAGGTATTAGAATAAATCAGAGATGTTCTTGTCGAATCCAGTAGGGAATTATGACACGTTCGACAAATATTCGACACGAATAGATTTATAATGGACTATTATCACATTTTGTCTATTAAATAAATTCTATATCGCTCTAGCTATTTGAATGTATTCATTTAATGTGCTTTTAATGAACATTGTTTTCTTGTCGATGGTTTTTACAGCAGTGACTGCAGTGTTTCTAATAGCAAGTGTACCAAGCATAATCGAAATGTACGGAACACTTGCTCCTCTTGAAATACACGCCACGGTACACTTATCCCAAAAAGTAGAGTGTACGAAATACACTTTGTTTAATAAAATAACACTTTGCTTCTAATTCTGAGGATTTTCAAGAATAATATGAATTTCAAAAGTTATGTCCCAACAATGAAACATTGTGACCTTTTTTGATACAAATTATCATTCGTATCTTGGAAAGATAGTTGTGTTCGAATTTATTGTGTATTTGTTCATCTACTATTGTTTAATTGTTCTACGAAAGAAAAGCATGAACATTCTTCTATTTTTCACTTCTTTATTTTGTGTTAAACGTCAAGTGTAGCGGCGTAACCAGGGGGGGGGGCAGATGGGGCTTAGCTCCATCACCGAGTGTTTAAGCCCCATCACCCGGATTTTGTGGAACTCATGTAAGTTTTCGAAGAAAATCGTGAGTGTAAGTTTTAAGCTCAAGTTTCTCAGTTCCCCTCCCCCCCAAATTCAATAAAAATACGCAAAAATCATTAAAAATAGCTATAGATTGCTAAAATGTTAATAAAAATACTGAAAAAGCGTTAAAAATAGCTGTAAATTGCGGGATTTTCTATAAAATATAAGCAAAATGGTTAAATACAGCTATAAATTAGTAGAATTTTAATAAAAATAAGCAAAAATAGTTAAAAATAGCCATAAATTACTACAAATTTAATTAAAAAAAATAACGAAAATGGCTATATATTGAGGGAATTTTTATGAAAATAATGACAAATCGCTAAAAATAGATATATACTGCCGCAAATTTAATATAAATAACCAAAAATGTCAAAACTAGCTATAAATTAACTAAATTTGAGCAAAAAAAGAAGACAAAGCGCTTAAACATGATCAGATATTTTGATGCGAACATACGTGAGTACCCCATTTTTAGCCCCAACGGGGCTGCGCTGACAAGCATTTTTAGTTACTAAACTTGACAATCAAAAAATCCAAAAGACTAGACAGTTTTGGGCAGAGCTAGACAACTCAGCAGAAAAAAGTGAATTAATTCAATTTAATTCCTGAAAAAAACTTTTGAATTTAATTCAACTCAATTCGCGTCTACTAAAAATTTTCCAAAATTCAACTCACTTCAATTCAATTCAGTCATAGCAAAAATTCCATTCAACTGAATTCATTGATTATGTATATTTTTTTCAACTCAACTGAATTCATTGATTATATATATTTTTT